TCTCTCCCTCTCTCTCTCTCTCTCTCTCGACACTTGAGCTTGTGAGACCGCACATCTTTGACCGGTGTGACGCAGTTCCGGTAACAGCTCACCCACGAACGCCTCCGTGCCCGAGGTCAAGTGCCTTTCTGGTGAGCGAGCAGCGTGTCATCTTCTTCCCAGCGCTCAAATGTGGTAATACCCCTGCCAACCATTTATTCGGAAACCGCTTATACGCAATGAAAACCAGTGACAAGAGTTACCACTGCCACATTGTCGATTCGGTAAGATTAGATCGAGGTAGAAAATCTGGAGGCTGAGTATAAACTTAACTAAATGAAAAATTTCAAAAACAGACTTCTACTCAGTTCATCCACAAAGCAAGATGTGTACCAGAGAAGAGAGGATTTGATTAAGGTGCAAGTACAGCCTTGCGGAGTCCATTAGATTGGAGGAGGAGGAGGAGGAGGAGGAGGAGGAGGAGGAGGAAGAGGAGGAAGAAAATAAGTAGAGGAGGAGGAGGAGGAGGAGGAGGAGGAGGACAAAGATGATGAGGATGATAAAGATGATGATGAGGAGGAGGAGGGGGGGGGGAGGACTTTGAATTCTTGATTAGAGGTAAACACAGGGGCTATTGAGGTTTGAACTAAACTAAAACAACGGTGACTAGTCGCTTGAATAAGTCCAGAGTATTAAATTCTAGCGTAAAAACGGTATTTCTTAAATGCAGCTCGCCACACAAAGGACCAGACGTTATGGTGTATTCTAATTTTTTTTAAAGAGAGTTTCAAACCAAGATTTCGAATCAAACCCTGAACTTCCATCTTCCTCTGTGAGTGTTCCACCGGACAGACTAGAGCCACTCCTGCGATGAAACGAGAAAGATTATACATTCTCTCACACTGACAAAACAGTTTTGTGTTGGCTAGGGGTGAACAAACAAAAAAACCCACATCTAGTCAAGCGGGTTATTCCAGTTTCACAATAGAGTACGCGCACTTCTAGGATAGTCGAAATAGGGCAAAAGGAAATGATTCAAGTGATGCTTTTTCTCCTTTATAGGGAGAGTCAAAAATAATAAGAGGGTTTCCCACGTTGTTTCCTTTTTAGGACTCGATAAAGTGGAGCAGTAAGATACCGTCTGAAGACAGCTTAACTCTTGTCCTCAACTTTGACAAGTGCACTCACTCATGGTTTTGGTGGGAATCTCTCCCTCTCTGTCTGTCTGTCTGTCTGTCTGTCTGCCTTCCTTTCTCTCTCTCTCTCTCTCTCTCTCTC